AATGGGTAAAATGGACAATAATTATTGCTAGAGGGTAGGTACGTACGTACGTACGTACGTACATAAAGTTGCTGTATCTAGATTAAAACGGATGGTAAATAAGACAAGCATTACGTAGTTAACGGATTAGGCTAAAGGATATGTAGATGGGCTATTACTATTCGAAGGTTAAATGGATAACCGGTTTATCTGGATTATCGTTATTAGATTTGTACAATATCAACAATATTATCATATGAACAGAATCGAGAACGCAAGCCAAAAAAATCATTTATATATAATATATATAGCATTTAGGCCTTTTCTACTGCAAAGACCCTATATCAGTATACTGCATACTGTAGATGTAGACACTGGGTCTTTCTTTTTTAAAAAAAAAAATTCACCGTAATTGTAATGGCTATTTATCTAATCACATCTATTATTGGCCTTCTATCGATAGTTATAGCATTTTTTACTAAAAATTCAATGTTTGTATTATTCACGATTTTATATCCGTTCCTTTACTTATTCGATCTATATGCGCGTTATAAGCGTCACAAATTGGCTCAACCATGGTCTGCGAAAGATAAAGTGGTTCTTATAACTGGTGCCTCAAGCGGAATAGGTCGATCATTAGCTCACTTATTCGCAAAACAAGGTTCCATCTTAATTTTATGTGCTAGAAGAGAAGATGCATTAATTAATGTGGCTAATGAATGTCGAGATCAATATGGAGCAACTAAAGTAGTAACCATTAAATGTGATGTTTCTGATGAAAATGATGTTTCAAAATTGATTAAAACGGTTGAAGATTCATTTAATAAATTGGATTGTTTGATTTTAAATGCTGGAGTATCTATGGGTGAACGATTTGAAAGTATCTCCGATTATAAAATGATTAAGACAATTATGGATATTAATTATTTTGGATCAACTTATATCACATATAAAGCTTTAAATCTTCTGAAAAATTCTAAAGGTGGTAGAATTGTGGTGGTTAATTCATTTCTTGGAATTTGTTCCGTTCCGTTAAGAACTGGTTATTGTGGCTCAAAATTTGCTCTTAGAGGGTTTTTCGAAAGTTTACAATATGAACTTTGGGAGCATGGAATTTTTGTTGTTATGACTTATCCGGTAAAAATAATAATTAATACAATAACATATATATATATATACAATGTTAATGTCAATATGAAATTAATAATATTTATTTGTTTATTTTAGGATGCTGTGAAAACTGAAATAAATGACAATCGATTAGGTAAAAGTCCATCAAAGTTGGATATGACGAGTGCGATGTCATCTGATGAATGCGCAAATATAATTTATAAAGGTGTTGTCAGAGGTGATAAGGAAATTTTATTTGTTGCTAGAGGAAAATTTGCACGGATGATGGAAGGTGTTTTCCCGGATGCGTGGTCTTATTTAACAAGAAAATATTCTTGGAAAGCAGTTGCATCTAATTCTTGATTTCGTATATACATTATAATTGTCATCGATATACTAAATTGATTTATTTTATTATATAAATACTGTGTACTTTGAAAACTTTGAAAAAATAGTTTATTGTTCAATGAATTATTCTCTCGATCATTTGTAGGAAACTAATATATGGTAAGACATAATATTAATGGTTTAGAGGTTATTAAACAAGTCAAATACATAAGGATTTAATGTTCAAGAGATCTACATAGCGATAGATATTATTATATTTACAAATTAGCTTTAATTTTATCTGATTTGAATAATTTTTCGCTAATATTTTTTCTCTGAATTTTACCGGTCGCAGTTTTTGGCATCACGTCAATAAAATAAAATTTTTTTGGTATTTTAAACTTTGCCACTTTATTTCCACAAAATATTTGTAAATCTTGTTCAGTTACTTTTTGTCCTTGTTTAAAAACAACAGCTGCATGAACTTCTTGACCGTAAATATCATCAGGAACTGCAAAAGAAACAGCCTCTAAAACTGTAGGATGTGATAACAGAATAGAATCAAGTTCCAAAGGTGATATTTTTTCCCCTCCACGATTAATCAATTCTTTGATTCGTCCTGTTAAATATAAGTATCCTTCCTCATCAAACTTGCCTTGATCGCCTGTACGGAACCAACCATCTTTTGTAAACGAAGATTCATTTGCTGAAGCATTGTTAAGATATCCTAGTGTAATATTTGCACCTTTAACACACACTTCTCCTTCCTCTACATGTTCACCATTCTCGTTTAATATAGTGATTTGAACTCCTTGACCAGTACCCACTGAACCTGGTTTATGTTTTAGAGGAGGTAATGGATTTGAGGTCATTTGATGTGCAGCTTCAGTCATAGCATAAGCTTCAAGTACTGGTGCATTAAAAGTTTTTTCTAATTCAAATAATACAGTTGGTGCAAGTGAAGATGAACATGAACGAATAAATCTAAGTTTTGAAGCACCTCCACTGGGTGGTGGATGACGCAAAAGAATTTGATGTATAGTAGGAACTGAATTTGAAAATAAATGTTAGTACGAAATAATTATGTAAATTTATCTATATGTTATTTCTTACCAGCTGTGTACCAAGTACATTCATATTCTAAAAAATCATTCCAAAACGTAGTTGCAGAAAATTTTGGTGGGATTACAACTGTTCCACCGGAAAATAATGTGGAAAGCATTCCACCGATTAATCCATGAACGTGAAAAAGTGGCATTACTAATAATGTACGATCATCAGGAGTCAATTTATATGTATTTCCAATATTCATCATGGTTGTAGTGATATTTTTATGAGTAAGCGGAACTCCTAACATGCAATAAAATTTAAAATCATACGATTCATACGTAATAAATTTATTTAGACAAAGAGATCAATAAATGATTTCTACCCTTAGGTCTTCCAGTAGTTCCTGAAGTATGCAACAAAAGAGCTACATCCAATGGATATGGATTACGTTTTTCATCATTTACACGAGGAATATTTTGATTTTGAAAATAAGTCTTTATACTCTTAGTAGAATCATCCCAATTCATTTCCAAGATCTCGATATTAAGATCTCTCGCAGCTTTTACAGCAGGTTTGTTCTGTTGTACCCAACCCGTTGGTAAGATGACTAGTTTACATTTTGAATCTTCAAAGCAAAATTTGAATTCACTCTCAGTATAACCAGGATTCAGAGGAGCAGCAATGCTTCGAAGTAAAGTAATAGCAAAAAATGAGACAGTGAATTCTAATGAATTTGGTAACACTATAGATATTACATCCTGAGGTTTCAGGTCGAAACCTTCCATTAATTGATATTGAAAAACTTTAACATGGCCATGTAATCCGGGATAAGAAAGTGTTGGCCCACCATTAGGAATAATAACAGAGGGTGATGAAGAACTATGAGAGAAAATTGAAGTTAATGTGTTCATTTTGAAACTTTACAATTCGGAACTTTAAAATTTGAATTTCGGTATTTAAACTTTAATCACAATCTTTTAAGGTTATAATTAGCCACTTAGTGTTACATATATTTTATTTACTAATACGGATATAATCACACGGTACGTATCGCAAACTCAATAAATCAATAATTTAATAGTGATACTGATACGTAGTTTAAAATTTTTCATTTATTCGTTACATTGAAATTATCAATTTATAGTAGTGCTGCTGGTTCACGCGGTGATGCGGGGCACTCATATGATTGGCTGGTTTGAATCAATTACTCGGGTAACTTATTTATACATATTAAGTACTTTTGAAAATGCAACGTTTCGCTAATTTCGTAAAAAGAACGGTGAAAGTATCTTTAAACACTCGTCAAAGTTTACCAAACAATTTCAAAACCGAAGAATTAGATGACAAATACATTATTACTTTTTACTACTAGACTCATAGAGACTTTGTCTGATTGGCCAATCGATTTATTAGAGTATGCGACTCGAAATCACGCGGTGTGACAATTTGCTAAAAATACGTACCGTCTATCCGGAATCAAACACTGGATAGGACTACATTACGAACATCGTATGATTTCTCATAGTAATTATATGTGATATTAGACGGTATACGTATTTAGAAGATTTGTAGATATTGATATACCGATACTGTTTAATTTTCTCATATATTTGTGTACATGGGATTATGGAGATTGCGCAAACTGTACGTATAGTCTTGCATAATTAACTCATCACAAAAATCTATACAAAAAAATCATATTACGCCAACGCTTAAGCTTAAAACCCCCCCTTGACGTTGAAAATCGGTTCAGAAATTTTTCCTTATATTGTATGACAATATTGGGAAAAGAATGATGAAATAATTGTGTAATACTTGACCAATTGGAATTAAAAATTAACCAAATCAGGTTTGCTTAACAGATCGGGTTGAATCGAGCTTTTTTAAATGGATAGATTAGCGGATCAACCAAATTCAGCGGATCGACCAAAATTTAGGGTCGGAATAGGCCCGGAGCTAGGCCGGCATTAAGCAATAATACAGGCCAACTATACTACAGCCAACTTAGCACGTAGTTACCATTTCATTAATAAAATTTTGGGTGGGGAAAAATTTATCAATTCCGGCCTATTCCGACCTAAATTTTGGTTGGTTGCTCCACTAACCTATCCTTTTTAAATCTACTCCAAGTTTACTTAGCGTTAGGATTAGAGGTGAGGAACGGAGTTACGACTTTCACTAGTATTATGGCATATTATAAGTCGTAATAGAAGTAGTGAATATTTATATATTTCATACGCCATAACGTAACAGGTAAGTACATATTATAAGTCGTAATAGAAGTAGTGAGTATTTATATGTCATAGCCATAATGTAGGTATGAATACGTAGTATATACATATCAGATATTATAACTTTGATATATGTTGTAATGTAATATAATGTATTTATTCAATACTTTGTTTTTTTTGGATGTTCAGATGGGATCTTGCCTGTGATTTTATTTATTTTAATACTTTCATTACATGTATTGCTACATCTTATATTACATATTTTAAGTACACTCAGCTTAAACTGGATTCTATTTGTAACCTATGCTCTGGCTAAGGCCATCACTTGTATGATCAGGTGTCCCTTTCCACTATCTAGCCACTAATCCATTATCTGTGATCCAAACCTACCAGGATAGTACATCTATAAATAGCACTTATTTGATATTTTTTTATCCTTTACAAGTTCTACTTTAATATATTTTTCTATAACTACATTTTTTGTATTACTTATACCACTTATATCTAAGCTTTTAAATTTGGTAATCCTTTTTATAAAAAAGCCTTGTAGCCTTATTTGATTACTTTCAATCTTGATAAACATTAGTTGTTCTATTAGTAGGCTTTATATTGACCCAAGTTAAGCCTTTATTATTAATATCTAGTTTAGTTAATATGCTTGTTTATTTTCATTATTACATTGGGTAAGTACTCTTGTATGTTGATGCAAGCTTGTTGTATTGTATTTCAAATTACTTTATAACTTTCAGATAGCAGGTTTCATATTACTTTTTTTCTATAGACTGATAGATTGGATATCTGTCTAATAATTATAATGTTCTGATATTCTGATATTTTAGATTATAGAGGTGTGATGACTTAGTGAAGTTGGTAAGTTGTCACACTCCCAAGTGGCAGGACAAGAGTTCAAATCTCACTGGTGACAAAATTTAAATTTACAAAATGTGTTATAATAAACTGTATAATATATTAATTGGGTTAGTATCTGTAATCTTGGTCTTTTCAACTTGTATTGGAAGATTCATTTAATAAATTGGATTGTTTGATTTTAAATGCTGGAGTATCTATGGGTGAACGATTTGAAAGTATCTCCGATTATAAAATGATTAAGACAATTATGGATATTAATTATTTTGGATCAACTTATATCACATATAAAGCTTTAAATCTTCTGAAAAATTCTAAAGGTGGTAGAATTGTGGTGGTTAATTCATTTCTTGGAATTTGTTCCGTTCCGTTAAGAACTGGTTATTGTGGCTCAAAATTTGCTCTTAGAGGGTTTTTCGAAAGTTTACAATATGAACTTTGGGAGCATGGAATTTTTGTTGTTATGACTTATCCGGTAAAAATAATAATTAATACAATAACATATATATATATATACAATGTTAATGTCAATATGAAATTAATAATATTTATTTGTTTATTTTAGGATGCTGTGAAAACTGAAATAAATGACAATCGATTAGGTAAAAGTCCATCAAAGTTGGATATGACGAGTGCGATGTCATCTGATGAATGCGCAAATATAATTTATAAAGGTGTTGTCAGAGGTGATAAGGAAATTTTATTTGTTGCTAGAGGAAAATTTGCACGGATGATGGAAGGTGTTTTCCCGGATGCGTGGTCTTATTTAACAAGAAAATATTCTTGGAAAGCAGTTGCATCTAATTCTTGATTTCGTATATACATTATAATTGTCATCGATATACTAAATTGATTTATTTTATTATATAAATACTGTGTACTTTGAAAACTTTGAAAAAATAGTTTATTGTTCAATGAATTATTCTCTCGATCATTTGTAGGAAACTAATATATGGTAAGACATAATATTAATGGTTTAGAGGTTATTAAACAAGTCAAATACATAAGGATTTAATGTTCAAGAGATCTACATAGCGATAGATATTATTATATTTACAAATTAGCTTTAATTTTATCTGATTTGAATAATTTTTCGCTAATATTTTTTCTCTGAATTTTACCGGTCGCAGTTTTTGGCATCACGTCAATAAAATAAAATTTTTTTGGTATTTTAAACTTTGCCACTTTATTTCCACAAAATATTTGTAAATCTTGTTCAGTTACTTTTTGTCCTTGTTTAAAAACAACAGCTGCATGAACTTCTTGACCGTAAATATCATCAGGAACTGCAAAAGAAACAGCCTCTAAAACTGTAGGATGTGATAACAGAATAGAATCAAGTTCCAAAGGTGATATTTTTTCCCCTCCACGATTAATCAATTCTTTGATTCGTCCTGTTAAATATAAGTATCCTTCCTCATCAAACTTGCCTTGATCGCCTGTACGGAACCAACCATCTTTTGTAAACGAAGATTCATTTGCTGAAGCATTGTTAAGATATCCTAGTGTAATATTTGCACCTTTAACACACACTTCTCCTTCCTCTACATGTTCACCATTCTCGTTTAATATAGTGATTTGAACTCCTTGACCAGTACCCACTGAACCTGGTTTATGTTTTAGAGGAGGTAATGGATTTGAGGTCATTTGATGTGCAGCTTCAGTCATAGCATAAGCTTCAAGTACTGGTGCATTAAAAGTTTTTTCTAATTCAAATAATACAGTTGGTGCAAGTGAAGATGAACATGAACGAATAAATCTAAGTTTTGAAGCACCTCCACTGGGTGGTGGATGACGCAAAAGAATTTGATGTATAGTAGGAACTGAATTTGAAAATAAATGTTAGTACGAAATAATTATGTAAATTTATCTATATGTTATTTCTTACCAGCTGTGTACCAAGTACATTCATATTCTAAAAAATCATTCCAAAACGTAGTTGCAGAAAATTTTGGTGGGATTACAACTGTTCCACCGGAAAATAATGTGGAAAGCATTCCACCGATTAATCCATGAACGTGAAAAAGTGGCATTACTAATAATGTACGATCATCAGGAGTCAATTTATATGTATTTCCAATATTCATCATGGTTGTAGTGATATTTTTATGAGTAAGCGGAACTCCTAACATGCAATAAAATTTAAAATCATACGATTCATACGTAATAAATTTATTTAGACAAAGAGATCAATAAATGATTTCTACCCTTAGGTCTTCCAGTAGTTCCTGAAGTATGCAACAAAAGAGCTACATCCAATGGATATGGATTACGTTTTTCATCATTTACACGAGGAATATTTTGATTTTGAAAATAAGTCTTTATACTCTTAGTAGAATCATCCCAATTCATTTCCAAGATCTCGATATTAAGATCTCTCGCAGCTTTTACAGCAGGTTTGTTCTGTTGTACCCAACCCGTTGGTAAGATGACTAGTTTACATTTTGAATCTTCAAAGCAAAATTTGAATTCACTCTCAGTATAACCAGGATTCAGAGGAGCAGCAATGCTTCGAAGTAAAGTAATAGCAAAAAATGAGACAGTGAATTCTAATGAATTTGGTAACACTATAGATATTACATCCTGAGGTTTCAGGTCGAAACCTTCCATTAATTGATATTGAAAAACTTTAACATGGCCATGTAATCCGGGATAAGAAAGTGTTGGCCCACCATTAGGAATAATAACAGAGGGTGATGAAGAACTATGAGAGAAAATTGAAGTTAATGTGTTCATTTTGAAACTTTACAATTCGGAACTTTAAAATTTGAATTTCGGTATTTAAACTTTAATCACAATCTTTTAAGGTTATAATTAGCCACTTAGTGTTACATATATTTTATTTACTAATACGGATATAATCACACGGTACGTATCGCAAACTCAATAAATCAATAATTTAATAGTGATACTGATACGTAGTTTAAAATTTTTCATTTATTCGTTACATTGAAATTATCAATTTATAGTAGTGCTGCTGGTTCACGCGGTGATGCGGGGCACTCATATGATTGGCTGGTTTGAATCAATTACTCGGGTAACTTATTTATACATATTAAGTACTTTTGAAAATGCAACGTTTCGCTAATTTCGTAAAAAGAACGGTGAAAGTATCTTTAAACACTCGTCAAAGTTTACCAAACAATTTCAAAACCGAAGAATTAGATGACAAATACATTATTACTTTTTACTACTAGACTCATAGAGACTTTGTCTGATTGGCCAATCGATTTATTAGAGTATGCGACTCGAAATCACGCGGTGTGACAATTTGCTAAAAATACGTACCGTCTATCCGGAATCAAACACTGGATAGGACTACATTACGAACATCGTATGATTTCTCATAGTAATTATATGTGATATTAGACGGTATACGTATTTAGAAGATTTGTAGATATTGATATACCGATACTGTTTAATTTTCTCATATATTTGTGTACATGGGATTATGGAGATTGCGCAAACTGTACGTATAGTCTTGCATAATTAACTCATCACAAAAATCTATACAAAAAAATCATATTACGCCAACGCTTAAGCTTAAAACCCCCCCTTGACGTTGAAAATCGGTTCAGAAATTTTTCCTTATATTGTATGACAATATTGGGAAAAGAATGATGAAATAATTGTGTAATACTTGACCAATTGGAATTAAAAATTAACCAAATCAGGTTTGCTTAACAGATCGGGTTGAATCGAGCTTTTTTAAATGGATAGATTAGCGGATCAACCAAATTCAGCGGATCGACCAAAATTTAGGGTCGGAATAGGCCCGGAGCTAGGCCGGCATTAAGCAATAATACAGGCCAACTATACTACAGCCAACTTAGCACGTAGTTACCATTTCATTAATAAAATTTTGGGTGGGGAAAAATTTATCAATTCCGGCCTATTCCGACCTAAATTTTGGTTGGTTGCTCCACTAACCTATCCTTTTTAAATCTACTCCAAGTTTACTTAGCGTTAGGATTAGAGGTGAGGAACGGAGTTACGACTTTCACTAGTATTATGGCATATTATAAGTCGTAATAGAAGTAGTGAATATTTATATATTTCATACGCCATAACGTAACAGGTAAGTACATATTATAAGTCGTAATAGAAGTAGTGAGTATTTATATGTCATAGCCATAATGTAGGTATGAATACGTAGTATATACATATCAGATATTATAACTTTGATATATGTTGTAATGTAATATAATGTATTTATTCAATACTTTGTTTTTTTTGGATGTTCAGATGGGATCTTGCCTGTGATTTTATTTATTTTAATACTTTCATTACATGTATTGCTACATCTTATATTACATATTTTAAGTACACTCAGCTTAAACTGGATTCTATTTGTAACCTATGCTCTGGCTAAGGCCATCACTTGTATGATCAGGTGTCCCTTTCCACTATCTAGCCACTAATCCATTATCTGTGATCCAAACCTACCAGGATAGTACATCTATAAATAGCACTTATTTGATATTTTTTTATCCTTTACAAGTTCTACTTTAATATATTTTTCTATAACTACATTTTTTGTATTACTTATACCACTTATATCTAAGCTTTTAAATTTGGTAATCCTTTTTATAAAAAAGCCTTGTAGCCTTATTTGATTACTTTCAATCTTGATAAACATTAGTTGTTCTATTAGTAGGCTTTATATTGACCCAAGTTAAGCCTTTATTATTAATATCTAGTTTAGTTAATATGCTTGTTTATTTTCATTATTACATTGGGTAAGTACTCTTGTATGTTGATGCAAGCTTGTTGTATTGTATTTCAAATTACTTTATAACTTTCAGATAGCAGGTTTCATATTACTTTTTTTCTATAGACTGATAGATTGGATATCTGTCTAATAATTATAATGTTCTGATATTCTGATATTTTAGATTATAGAGGTGTGATGACTTAGTGAAGTTGGTAAGTTGTCACACTCCCAAGTGGCAGGACAAGAGTTCAAATCTCACTGGTGACAAAATTTAAATTTACAAAATGTGTTATAATAAACTGTATAATATATTAATTGGGTTAGTATCTGTAATCTTGGTCTTTTCAACTTGTATTGGAAGATTGTAAAACAATAGTATAATGCATAGATTATACAAATTCTGAGTGAAGCAGCCAAATTAATTCAAGGAATTAGGAGATATAGAAGTCTGCTTAGAAAGCTCTAAGTAAAAAGGTAGCACATATCTTTGACAGTGTTATTTAAAGATTATTATCTGAGAAATCAGATACTAAAAGCAAACTAAACGAGGACCGGGTGTTTGGCAAAAGCACTATACCAACCAGGCTGCCAGTTAATCAAAGAAAAAAGGATTCATTTAGAATATTAAAGAACATCTACTAGTCCTACCTAGGCCATCTAAATTAGAAGCTTGGTGTACCAATGGTTGGCATTGAAGTATTGTTGATAGTCTATAAAGTGGATGCTAGGGTTTGTGTGAACTTTACAAAAGCAAAAAGTAAGTGATAGTAGCAGATGTAAAATGCTGCAAATACTTAGCTGTGGTTGAGGCTAGTGATTTGACTTGTCTAAAAAATCTCCACCCAGATCACCTGTTAGGTGAACAATAGGCCATCAGGTAAAAATCGGGTTAACATAAAAGCATCACCCACCCACATCATCTATGACGAGTAACTTGTCAAATCACTGGTTAGTATAAAGAGGCCATCCAGATAATAATATATACAAAGAATCACTGCTTTTTTTAAATATAAAAATAATTTTGTTTGATTCAATTAAGTTAATTTTGGTATATAATATTAACAAAATTCATTAAATTTTTGTATAAAAATTATAAAAAAAACTGTCAATAAATCTTGACAAGAAGCCCAGCTATAAATTAGACTTTATTATAAACATATATATTATACAAGTTAGTGCTAATATTGAAAAGTTAGATATAATACATTTTTCAATATATCCATATTTTTGAAAGCATCTAAGAACTCAACTTGTAGAAGATCTGCTAACATCTGCAATTTCTCGATTTGATAAACCTAAAGTGCAAATGCTATTTGATTGCATATTTTATTTGTATACTACATATCAAATTTTTTATTACTAATTATATCTTGCTATTAGTATAGTGATATACTGACATTAGATTCTAATTTAATTGTTAAAGTATAAACTACTACTACAAAGAATCAAGAGTTACTTATGCTTAATTAAAAAGGTTAATATAAGCTAACATTAGCACATTAGTCAGATTACAAAGATAATAAACGTGGATGATTATAATAGGTTTCACTTTACTATATATATTTTATTAATTATAAATCTTTTATTTCCAAACCTTAAATACAAACTATTATACTTAATAAATATAATTTTTTTATAACTTCAGATGATAACCTGTTCTTTTTAGAAGTAAATTAGTTTCCTGCATCAGAAAAAAGACACTTACCTAGAACTGAAGTAGTATAGATTGATAAGTATTTACAAGCTATTCTATTTAAAATAGAGAAAAAATGCTAATTTTTACACTACCAGTTATAAATGTCAGTAGATTCAGATAAATTTGGTATAACTATTTCTAAATAATTGTCAATTTCGGGTTTGTTACTTATTTGTTTATTATTAATACTAAATATCTTTTTCATAAAACTAGGAGTGGTGGTTTCTTCTATAGTTGCAACATTTAAAAGATCAAAGGTAGTATGTCACCATATATCACCCTTTACATCATATATAATTTATATATAATATTGTATGTCATGTAATATACGTCATATTACATTTCATAGTAAATATTTTAATGTCTGCAGCTCTAATTTCTTTATAATAGGCTTCTGATTCATCAACCACAACTGTATCCTTCCAAGTGTAAAATTTATTATGCAGTTTGTTAATTGTTGTCTTTGTATATCTGTAGATCACAAACTCATTAACCTTAATTGTGAATCTAGTAATGTGGTTATAAGTTTAATATTATCTGAATCTTGCTAGTAATGCAAAGAGAGTTATAAATAATCGCACGAAGCTTCGAGATAATAATGCTAGATGAGAATTGATTTTCTTTATCATTATTGAGTTCCTCATTACTAAAATTATCATTAATAATATCTTATTTGTATTTTTTAAACAGTAAATAGTTAGTTGAACTAATATTTTATAAAAATAATAAATGAATTAACTATTATCTACCATTATCAAGGCTTTTTATGAAGAATTCGTCAAACATGCCATTAGCAAATTCAAACTTTAATGCCTCTATATTTAGATTAACAACCAAAGTAGTGATATATTAGACTCCACTAAAGTATGTTGTCAATTCGTTGAATGGCTTAAATACTTTTACCAATTGTTTTAATAACTGCCATTCATAATTTTTAAGCATATAATGGTTCAATTTGGCAGAATCTTTAGTACCATCTTCATTTTATAGAGATAAAGTTCTAGAAAGCTATTTGATTGCTAGACATAAAGTTAAAAACCTCTGCCAAGATTGGTAAGATGAATTCTAATGAGTTTTAATATTCTCAATAGTATGCAAAATGAATGGTATTTCGTATGTTTCTAGCTCATCATCATCATCAGTTTCAGATATGCCTTCAAGCATATTTTCAGAGTAAATTTGAATAGGCTTTATATAAGTTATTTTATGATTTGCCAGATCAATTTGTGCTTGGTTAAGACATTGGCTTTGTTTTGAGGATTGAAAAAATTTAATGTGTTTCTTGATATGTTTAGTGTACAGGTTTATAAATTTTAAAGCCTGAAG